ATTCAATTTATATATATATATGGTTAATGTGACCAAGAACTTGTTCACTGAATCTACAAAATGACACGCAATAGAAATTATCAAACATAATTGACGAAGTTTCTCAACCAGTTACTAAAAAAACTAAAGAAAAAGAGCGAAAGTTCAATGTCACTGCGGTAAATGCAAGGGGAAATTGGTTGATTCTCGTACAAAGCGAGATATGATGATGAATTTTCATCACAAATTCCTACTATGGATACAAGTCAAGAAGTTTATAAAGACATCGATACTGATGAATCGTCACATTCAGTATTGAGTGTTAAAAATGAAGCTTTAATGCAGGATGTCAAACAGTCTGTTGATATAGAAGAAGTTCAGGATATAACAGATGGCAATTCATATGACGATATTGATTTTGACTTTTTACCTCGAGAATATATTTCGAGATATACAAAACTTTCCGTGAATTTTGACGTTAATGTTTTTGAGCGATCTGAATCTGAGCCTAAACAAAGCACTAATAATGATAGTGATGATTTGGTAAATATTGGGCTGAGTGAAATTTTTGAAGACTATTCATGTCCTTCGTTTAAATTATTTCAAGACGCAAATGTTACACATTCAAACCATAATGACTAATTTTTATGGATACTCTTATGGATAATGAACTTACGAAAAAGGTTCAACATACCAGAAACAGCAACTGAGTCTTTAATAAAATTCATGAAGCTGGTGTTGATTGAGATTAGAGGAGAAGATTTTAGCAATTTCCCAGATACGCTTTACACAGCAAGAAATAAGCTTGGCTTGAAAGACCAATTTCAAACATTTGTACCTTGCCTAAAATGTCATAAGCTTTATGAAAGGGATGAAGTAGAAAACTTTCAACAAGACAAGTTTCCCAATTCATCTTACCGTCGATTGTGCTTGTACCAAGAACCGTTATCCCGACAAATAAGATCATTAGATGGTATTATAATTTAACCAGAATTGATATATCCATTTGCTAGAATTAATAATCAATTGGCAACAATGTTTCGTCGACCTGGTTTCGAAAGTTCTCTTAGACATTAGGCTAATCGGTCAAATTTTGATAATATTTTGACTGATATTTATGACGGAGAAGTCTGGAAAACTTTCAAATACGACGATTTGACTGTTTTTTTCCAACCTGAGGTAGCCGATTCACATCTCGGATTAATGCTGAACCTTGACTGGTTTCAGCTGTATGATGGTACAATATATAGCACAGGAGCAATATATGCGGCCATTTGCAATTTACCATGCGATATTCGATTTTGACGTGAAAACTTACTACTTCTTGGTCTATTACCTGGGTCGGACAAAGTTAGTTTACATAAAATTAACTACTATTTGGCGCTGATTGTCAACGACTTGGAATCACTCTGGAATGGGATAACTTTGAACACAAACGAATGTCCAGATGGGAAGAGAGTTCATGCGGCATTAATACTTATATTATGTGACATTCTTACCGCTAGAAAAATTTGTGGTCACATTTCAGCTTTTATATCATGCCACAGGTGTGAAAAAAAGGTGAATTATGAGGAAGGAAAGCACAATTTTGCCGGCATAAATAACATGGATGAATGGTTTGTTGCCAAGAATCCGAACCAACATCATCAAGATGCGATTGGGTGGTGACGTTGTAATTCGAAAGCCTCAAGTGAACGATTTGTAAAGCAAAGTGGCGTAAGATGGACTGAATTGCTGCGCTTATCGTATTTTGATCCAATTCGCTTTACAACAGTTGATCCAATGCATTGCCTATTTTTGGGCATTGCAAAGTGGATCATAAAGCGAATTTGGATAGATCAAGAAATATTAATGACGAATATTCTAAACGAAGTACAGAAAAAGATGAATCAATTCTCTGTACCAGCAGATATCAGTCAGATTCCAGGGAAAATATACTATGGTGAAGGTTTTTCAAATTTTACTGCTAATCAGTGGAGAATCTTTTTTACGATTTATGCGACTGTTTCACTTTAGGAACATTTGGGATATGAAGATAGGAAAGTTCTCACATATTTCGTGAGAGTTTGTCAGCTTTTTGTTAATAGAATAATTGAAGTTGATGCAATGAGAGAAGCCTATCAGAAATTAATCGAAATAGTGAAACTAATAGAGAATAATTACGGCTGTGACAAAATTACACCGAATCTGCATTTGTCACTTCATTTGGGTGAGTGTTCGTTTGATTATAGGCCTCTATACACTTTCTGGTGTTTTCCTTAAAGCGTATGAATGGGATGCTAGGTATATCAAATTTATATATTTTTATTGGTTTTTATTAATTTTCGTTTGATAATCTGCTAAAATTCATATTTCTTAGGTTCTTTACCAAATAGCCACCGACATATTAAACCAAAACTTATGCGAAGAATGATGTTTGATACACAGATTATGTCTAAAAGTTCTGAAATAGAAACGAAGGGCACCGAATTACTTGAAATTCGGCCAAATGTCAGATCTTTATCTGCAACAGACGAGTTTTCATCCGATGAGATGTATCAATTTTTACTCTATTCTAAAAATATTCAGAACTCAGCTATTACTGGAAGGGAAGCATTTCCAGGTGAAATGTTATGACCTTCATCTGAAGATATTATAATGATAGCTGAAATGCTCAACCAAATGGTAGAATACTATACTGCAACTATGAAATGTACAATTTTCGAAAGCTGTTTGGGAAAGGAGCGGAAAATTCAGTAATCATTTATGTTAAGATAAATAAATTCAGACAATGTCGAATCGGGTCAGAAATTTTCAGTTCTGCCTTATTAGCACGTCACATAAAAAGTTCGTTTATACAGGCGAAATTTATTACAAGTGATGGTAGTGTTGACTGCTATCCTGGGCAAATTCAATATTTCTTCACGCATACAATCGATTTGCCTGATGGATCATCAGAACATCATCTAGCATATGTTCGATGGTATCGTCACGTAGAATCAAAAAATGTAAGATATCATTTTTGTGTTGATGACGAAGAAGAGACATGTAACGTCGAATTGTGGTATGGTGGCTTTTATCCTAAAAGTCGTGACTACATAATTCCTGTTCATCATATTCTTGATCGATTTGTTCCAGTAAAATATAAAATTTCGAATCGGCGAAATGCAGTGGAATACTTGGTTATTAACCCGATCGACAGAAAATATCATATACGATAAATTTTTTACTGTAGACTTTTATTGATTTATATTTTTATTAATGTTTGAATAAAATTTGCCGATTTTTTTACATTTTATTTTTTTTAATAATTAAATTTAACAATTTTTTATTTTTATCTACACCAAAATTTACGAAATTTGATGATAACTAATCGATCATAAACAAGATATTCGAATCTCAGCCGATTTTTAAACGATTCTTAATACCGTCCGAAATTGTGGTGAAATTTCAGTCGAAAGTTATGGGCGAATTTTAGACGAATGTTGTTGATGATCGAAATTTGATCGAAATCGGTTTCACATCAGCCAAAATTTGGTCGATTTATCACATGACTGAAACTTCTTATTTCGAGTGTTTGGGAGGCGGTGAGGAATAATGGTACTCCTAATAGAAAGAAATTCTTAGGTATACTTGAATATTATCAGAAGGTAAAAAATCCTGAGACGCAAGAAGAATATGTTATAGCTTTGAAGAGTTTTATGCTTATTTTAGAAAACATTATTCAAAATACATTGGAATAATTAATCCAATCAAATCAACCCCACCATATGAGGAGTATATTTATTGTTCTCCTAGTAAATAGATAGAAGCTAAGAAATATCAGTTAAGATGACGATTGGATAAGGCAACATACGGGAGTGTTGATTTCTCATAAAGGTTTCTGTTTGATTTGCTATCTACTATTGCCTATTATGAAAGTACTCAAAAAAATCGATAATATCTTTTTACTACCATTACACTATTTTTTACTTTGCTTCACCATAATGCATGTAGGCATGTGCGACATAAATTAGCACGTTTTTTGATCTTCATTATAGTGTATATGATGTAATAAATGATACATCGCAAATCATCTATAACTCTGTGTGGACTGTTTGTGCGACAAAATAATTTTCACACAAGAAATCGATCCCCAAGAATATTTCGAATTTTTCCCTATCTATCTGAATAGCATTTATTTGAGTTTATTTCCTCCGATGCTAGAGGCTATTCCTACTAGATTTCAACCAGAGTATATTTATATAATGTTATTAGGCCTTTATTACTGAGCGGTCAAGCAAGTGAAATAAAAAGTATGTATATGCATACTCCCCAACGTTTTTGCAATGTTAAGATCTACAATGCACATTTCGCATGTCTTATTCTCTAACACAAAAATTTAGCGTAAAGTGTCTCGCATATTTCTCCTATCTCTTCTTCCCTAACATGAATGCGAGTTAGAGAAGACATGAATGGAGAAGTCATCAGAGATTTAAAAAGGCAGGTATATTGAATTCAAGTTATTTGTCGCTTATTATTTTTTTAGCGAAATTCTAACACTATATTTTTTGTCATTATGTCTTCTTTCACATTATATGAAAATATTTATAATTTTTTACTT